ACTTGGAAGGTGAAGGATCTCCTTAATTGTTAAAGTCCATGGAAATTGAGTTAGTAACTTCAGATTTTCACATTTAAAAAAAATATTTATTATTATTTTTATTTTATGTGTATGAGTGCATTGCCTGCATGTATGTGAGTGCACCCGTGTCGTGCAATGCCGTGGAGGTCAGAAGAGGGCTTCGATTCCCCTGGGACTAGAGTTAAGGATGGTTCGTAGCCACCGTATGGGTGCTGGGAATTGAACCCGGGTCCTCTGCAAGAGCAGTCCGTGCTCTTAACCGCTGAGCCATCTCTCCAGGCCCTCATGTCATGTTGCTTATTTCGAAAATCAGAAAATCCGCAGAAGAAAACCCAAAATCGATTTCTCTCCTCACTCAGCCACTTTCTGAGCACTGTCTCATCTATGTTCTTTCTTTCCAAGTGTTTTTCTTCTTTTTCTTTCTGTACTTGTGCAATGTCTGTTTGGCGTGTGTGTGGTGTGTGCCTTTGTTTTATGCACATTGCTATGCTAGTATGTAAGCGCGTGCGCCTGTCCATGCTCCTGCAGAGGCTGTAGGACAGAGTGAGTGTCTTCCTTTGTTGCTCTTTTGTCTTTCAGTCTTGTGACAGGGTCTGTCACGGAACCAGAAACGTGCTGCATGGGCTGTGCTGGTTGGCCTGTGAACTCGTGGGGACTTTATCTCTACTCCCTGCCCAGCCCCATGCATCAATAATTAATGGTATTTATACTTATGTAAAAATACCATAGTATTTTTGACCACTTACTAAAATGTATACATCAGAAATAGACAAAACAAAAGGGAAATCATAACATGCCAATAGTTTAATAAAACCAAGGATAAGAGCTTGAGTACATAGAAGCTGTTGCTTGAAATGAGGTCTTGAGTTTGCCTCTTAGTTTAACTGCAACCAAGGTGAAGAAGCATGTTGATATTTGACGTATGGATGCTACGTCTTCAAAGTTAATGCTGAAATGCCCTGATATTTCTTGGATTGCTTGGTCACGGTGAATTATTTAAAATAGGGTGTTGAAGTCCATTACATATTTTTTTTTTTGAGACAGGGTCTCTCTGTAGCCTCAGCTGGCGTGGAATTCGCTGTGTAGACAAGACTGGCCTTGAAGCCACAGAGATCTGCCTGCCCCTGCCTCTGCTGTAGGCATTTTTTTTAAAGTTTATTATTATTTTTAATTTAATAAACACATGATTAGAAGAAGCATTTCATTACAGCTTTAACATATTCAGTAACACATTCCAGAACAAGGATACATCTCTTTCAAAGGTGGCTGTAAACTTTTAGGTTCACAGTTGAATTAATACAGTCATACAATATTGAACTCAGTATAAACCCTGTAAGACATAAAATTGAAAGAGATTTTAACCTTTAAAAGAGATCTCCATTTCATTTTAAAATATATTGCTTCTTACAGAAAGACTCATTGTTTTTGCTATAACACTGTGATATTGGCACATGCCTCATTAATCTGTATGTCACTGATTATTACTAGTCATAATCAGTTTCACTCAGATCCTTGGCCATTTTCATAACTACATGATTACATGATTAGAAGAAACATTTCATTATAGCTTTAACATATTCAGTAACACACTCCAGAGCAAGAGTACATCTCTTTCATAAGTGGCTGTAAGTTTCTAGGTTCGCAATTGAATTAATACAGTTATACAATATTGAATTCAGTATAAGCCATGTAAGACATAAAATTGAATGAGTTTTTTAACCTTTAAAAAAGATTTCCATTTCAGCCAGGTGTGGTGGCACACGCCTGGAGTCCCAGCACTTGGGAGGCAGAGGCAGGAGGATCTCTGTGAGTTCAAGGCCAGCCTGGTCTACATACTGAGTTCCAGGACAGCTGGGGCTGCATGGAGACCCTGTCTCAAAAAGACAACAACAACAACAAACAAAACAAAACAAAACAACAACAACAAAAATCTCCATTTCATTTTAGAATATATTGTTCCTTCCAGAAAGACTCATTGTTTTTGCTGCTCACACTGAGATGTTGGCGCATGCGTCTCTAATCGGTATGTATCTGATTATTACTAGTCATAATCGGTTGCACTTGGATCCTTGGCTCCCGTGCATGTGTATAAAGTCATCGGGTAGATTTCAGTGGTAATGCCTGTCACCTCCACCAATTAACATGATGTAAATTTCCATGCTTCCTCCTCAAATATAATACATTTTCCTAAATTTGTTGATGTGGTGTGTGTGTGTGAGTGTGTATGTGTGTGTGTGTGTGTGTGTATCACACAGAACATCCCAAACCATCTTATTCAACTATACACCCACTTCCCAGATGGCACCCTCCCATAGCCTCCCTCCCCCCACTAGAGCCCTTATACTCTGATATCCCTGCTCCGGTCTGCTGTGTTGTCAGCAACCCCAGCCATTCCCCACTACTTGTCCATCTGGTAAATCTAGTCAGCCTATCTAGAGGTCTTTGTTTTAGAAGTTCAGCTGTTCCTCATCTAGCAGCAATCAGTTGTCAATATTTCTTTAGATAAGATTGGAGTCTGCTGTTTATGTTCCCAGTTCTATGCTGGGTTACTATCTGGGAGTCCCCTGGGCCACCCTGGCCAACAACTCAAAAAAAGGTATCTCCTATCTGGCATTGTTACTTGTTATGTAGCCTCTAGCTATAAGTATGGACTCTTAAAAAATAATATTGGCCCCTTTAATCTCTGGTTATACATTCCTTTTGTGTTGGAGGCCAAGCCTTAAGTGTACCCCTGCCCCAGTTTGAAACAACCAGGTGGCCTTGTAAAAACATGTTTTTCTTGCCCTGATTTTTTTCTACATTTTACTTCCTTATCTTGTGAAACCACCAGGGCTCATGACTGTAGTAGAAATTCCCCAGCAGGGCCTTGCCGCCTTCCACTCCCCCCACCTTCTCTCCACCCTTTACCTTCCCCCACCCTCCGCTTTACTATATTAACACTGTGTGAATGCTCAATAAAAGAGACTTGATCAGAATACTGTCTTGTCTCCATTTCTTCGTGCCCCCTGCCTATTCTTCAAAGTATGTCTGTTAAACATCCAAGAAAGTTAGTTCCACAAGTATGGTACTTTTAATTACTGTGTGCCATGGAGATAAATCTTGAGCAAAACCAGTTGTTTTCAGATAAACCTTACCTAGACATATAGTTCTTCATCTGCTATGTATAATTTGTCAGTAAGTTGTTGGATTAATATGGTTCCATCTTGTTTTTAAAACTAGCTAGACATTATTTATCTCTCACATTGTCTAAACCCTCCATCATGGTTTCCCCAATTACACTTAAGGTGCCTCCACTTCCCCCCTTTCTGCCTTACTAATACCCTTCTCCTACCGTCCTACCTCTGTTGAGCTCCTTCTTTCCCTTTATCCCCTAGGTTCCTTGTATACCCTTCCCTCTCCCCTCCCTTAAATTAACCCTATTTTTATCCATATCTCCCTTATTAAGGCCTGTTTCCTACTGTTCTTCTCTTTCAGGTTCTTTCTTTTC